ATAGCAAGATGGCAGGCAATTTGTTACTGTCTAGGTGGAGTCTAGACGCATCAAACTCTATTTTCCAGAAGACTGTATTGACATCAGTTGACTATGCATCTCCAGAATCTAGCTATTTTTTTGGAAAGAACTAGCAGGAAAAGAGAAGTGTTCCTGTTTACACGTGGCACATGAAGAGTCACTTTTCAGAGCTGTTCATTTAAGTCACTTCATTATGACTTTAACATCATGGATAGAAAAGGTACAAGATAAGGACTTCAGGCTTGCCTCTGTTTATTGACATTTTACATAATTCTCAATGTAGGGGCATTTTTTGATGAAGGGAGTAAAAGAACAAAAAACTTTTTATTCAACTATAATGACTTTGTATTTTAAACCGCTATGTACAGAAAGAGGAAGCAGTGAGTGGGACATTCCATGTGAAATGGAATTTAAATCTGTTAAAAAAAGTATTAATCAAATATATCATTTCACTTCTTATAGAAGAAATAAAGTAGAAAGATCATGGGAACAACCTGGAAATTTTCTCCACAGCTTATGTTTTGAGCACAGGAATGTATTTACACTGTATGCATGAAGCAAATTGCTCATTTTGGAATGGACTGAAGTGAATTCAAAACACTCTGGCAAAACCGAGGTTTCACAACGTCATTTTATCACCATATGTAGCCTGGATATGTAACCTCCAAATTTGGAAAGTAGTAAATGTCTGTCTAATAAAAGGGAAGCGAGGAAATTACATAAGAAGAACAGAGTAGAATTAGAATCCAGAGCATAGTTAATTCAAGCTGATGGCTTCAAGCAACAATCTAAAAATAAAGCGCTAGAAACAGAATAGCAAGCTGCACTACCCAAGATCACACTGGCTGCAGAAGCAAAGCTCTGTAATTGTATACAGATGATTAGGAAATATTTTGTAAGGTTATCTTCACAATTTTTAAGGCTTATACTTTATGACACATGTTCACAATATTTAGGCGAAAAGTTAAATTAAAGAAAAATAAAGCAATTAGAAAACAAAGTGAATGAAAGCCAGATCCCTTTATAAAAGGGAAATTAAATCCATATCCCCCTATTCCCAGACCTTAAATTTCTCAGATTAGGGCACATGTAATGCAAAAAGGGAAATTAAGTAGGCACTGTTTGACTGGAGAATGAATTACAGAGAATTCTAAAGAAGTAAATAGAAATGATCCAAACAAGAAATTAAAGGGAACACAGAGCATAGTCAGACATCAAAGAGTTAGGTATGATTTTTTTTGCAAAGAAACCCACATTTCTCCCACGTTGTTCTCTTATAAAACTATGTCCACTATTCTTGTATTAAGAAAAGTTCTTATTGTACATATACAGTTTTAATAAAATGTTCTCATTAGCAACTGGCTTCCTACCTCTCTGACTGCTGCCTGCCTGTATAACCTCTTGGTTTAGGAACTCAGGAGGGCTGGGAAAGATGATGTTGGAAGGTTCTTCATTCCAGTCCAGTTGCCTTGGGGATCAATGCAGCCTCAAAGAAGCTGCATTTACTGCCACAGTGGTTTCTTTACAAAGAAACCAGAGGCTGTCAATGTGTAAAAACGGATCACTAGAGGATTGAAGGAACAGCCCTTCCTTCATGGAATCTGTAATCTCTTTTTCACAAGGTCAGGATTTAGGGCTCATGATCTTATGGGCGGTCGATGCCACAGTTCCACTCTGTTGGTTCTTTCTTTCTTCTTTTTTTTTTAATTGGAATAAAATTGCTTTACAGTGTTGTGCTAGTTTCTGCTGTACAATGAAATGAATCAGCTCTATGTATACCTATATCCCCTCCCTCTTGGACCTCCCTCCTCCCAAATTCCCCATCCCTCCCCCCCACATCTAGGTCACCACAGAGCACCGAGCTGAACTCCCTGTGCCATACAGCAGGTTCCCACGAGCTAGCTATTTTACATGTGGTAGTGTATTTATGTCAAACCTAATCTCCCAATTCATCCAACCCTCCCCTTCCCCACCTGTGTCCACAAGTCTGTTCTCTACGTCTCCGTCTCTATTCCTGCCCTGCAAATATGTTCATCTGTACCATTTTTCTAGATTCCACATATATGCGTTAATATACGATATTTGTTTTTCTCTTTCTGGCTTACTTCACTCTATATGACAGACTCTAGGTCCATCCACATCTCTACAAATGACCCAATTTTGTTCCTTTTTATGGCTGAGTAATATTCCATTGTATATATGTACCACATATTCTTTATGCATTCATCTATCGTTGGACACTTAGGTTGTTTCCATGTCCTGGCTATTATAAATAATGCTGCAATGAACATTGGGGTACATGTGTCCTTTTTGACCTACCTCCCAGAGTAATGAAAATAAATACAAAAATAAACAAATGGGACTTAATTAAACTTAAAAGCTTTTGCACAGCAAAGGAAACCATAAACAAGACGAAAAGACAACCGTCAGAATGGGAGAAAATACTTGCAAATGAATCAACAGACAAAGGATTAATCTCCAAAATATACAAACAGCTCATAGAGCTCAATATCAAAAAAACAAACAACCCAATTAAAAAATGAGTGGAAGACCTAAGTAGACATTTCCCCAAAGAAGACATACAGATGGCCAAGAGGCACATGAGAAGATGCTCAACATCACTAATCATTAGAGAAATGCAAATCAAAACTACAATGAGGTATCACCTCACACCGGTCAGAATGGTCATCACCAGAAAATCTACAAACAGCAAATGCTAGAGAGAGTGTGGAGAAAAGGAAACCCTTTTGTACCGTTGGTGGGAATGTAAATTGATACAGCCACTATGGAGAACAGTATGGAGGTTCCTTAAAAAACTAAAAATAGAACTACCATATGACCCAGCAATCCCACTACTGGGCATATACCCTGAGAAAACCATAATTCAAAAGGACACATGTACCCCAATGTTCACTGCAGCACTGTTGCTTATTTCTCATCATTCCTCTACTCAGTGTGAGATGAACCAACCTCTACCTACCCAGGGCTTAGAATTTTTCTTATGGAACTTCTCTCACTCTGAATAATGGTGACTAATTACTGGTGCACTTTTTAAATCGTCTCTGCGTCACTACAATGCTCTTGAGTATTTGAACTAATTCTTCTTAGCTTTGCTGCAAAATCAGAATATTGCCTTGGGTGGCTCTTGTGTTTCTCCCACTTATTCGTGCACATACAGAGATATGTAATAAATATCAATGAAGGATCAATGTTAGGCTGTATTTTTTATCAGTGAGTTTAATAGGCATGAATAAGAGAGAGCTGAAGACATAATCCCAGCCCCAAAGCTCAAATGGCATTTGTGTTTTTAAAACACTTTCAGACATACCAGGTCTTCTAGTGCAGCCACCAGAAAGCCATGCCTCATTCATTATTAGTTCACTTTCTAAGGAAGAAATGGAGACTCATTGTCTGAATCTCTTTCCTGAGATAAAAGAGACCATGGAGACAGAGCTGGGATTCCATCTTGAAGCTAAAGATGCTCAATTAATAAAGTATTAAATTGAATTGTTATCAGTGATGCTATTGGACAGTTATTTACATTAAGATGTTATGTTTGTGTTTTTTTACTTAGATGGTAAGAAGAGTGTCAGTTAAGAGAATTAAGATCATGATTAATACATACGAACTGGAATTTAAGTGCTGATTTCTATTTTACTGCTCCAATATACTGACTTATACAGTTACACTTTTGATGTGAAGTTATTTTAAGTCCCAAAAGAAAACATAGCAGCCAAAAATCAATACATTGTGAAATGTTCTTTGCCTACTAAAATTATGGGAAAAAAGTTTTAATTTCTATTTTAAAATTATGGTTTTAGCTTAAGAAAACAATCTGTTTAATAAAATACAGCAAAAAAGTACAATAACTATCAAGCAATACTTTGCCTCCAAAAAGATAATGCTAAAAGGTGACACATTAAAAAGTAAATGAACTACCGCGGAGTGGCTAGGCCTGTGAGCCACGGCCGCTGAGCCTGCGCGTCCGGAGCCTGTGCTCCGCAACGGGAGAGGCCACAGCAGTGAGAGGCCCGCGTACCGCAAAAGAAAAATTTTAACAAAAGTAAATGAACTAGTTAATTAAAAAGATAAACAGAAGTGTATATGGATATAAATAACAGCTGGTATCTGTAACTTACCCAACTTGGTCCCTGAAATAATTCAATGAAATAGGCATTATTATGCCTATATTTCAGATATGAAAACTGAAGCTTAGAGAGTTTAAATAATCAGACCAGCATGACACAGGTAGAAAGTACTTTAGCAAGAACTGAGCCCAGACGGGTATAATTCTAACATTTAATCCTAAGTACTAAATTAACTTCTTATGTACCTAGTTGCTAGGTCAATTATTAGGAAACACATATTCCTAATTGCTGGGATATTTTTCATATTTAACTCAGTCCTAAATTTCTAGTTTTAGGATTTAGATGAGTTTCTTAATGTCACCAGGTAAGTGACATTTTAAAACCAACCCTGGTAACTGTTAGGTTTTGTTTCATTTGCTTTGCTATTAAAAACAAGACAGGAATGTCGTCCATAATCTATTGATTACCTTCTCCAGGAGCTGACTGTTATCACTCACAGTGGAATAAAACCTGATGAATTTCTGTGTAAACTGATTAGCCCTGGATGAATCAATAGAGTAACTTCTAAGGCAAACATCTCTGCATTCCTTGTCAACTGTGACAAATTTTGTCTGAGTCCTTTATGGATGCTTCAAAAGACAGTAGCACTAGCGAATTTCTCTTAAACTTTTAAATGGCACTGACAGAAAGGAAATATCTTCTGTGTATGCCTGACTTTGTTTTCCTTCCCTCTTATTAGTTAACCCTAAAAGTACAAATATAAACAAATGTAATCCCCAATGCTGCATCTGAACCAGGAGAAATCTGGAATTAATTGCCAAGTATTTTGGTTCCTGTTGCAGCTGTTACAAGTGTTTGATTTGGCCAGGGAAGAGAAAAGACACTGCATACCAATTTCGTGAGCCACGGTGAAGGCTGCATGGAGACCATCATCTTCAATCACAGCACAGCTGCGTTCGGGAGAACATATGGTCCCAACGTCTGCCATTCCCAGGGTGTCACATGAGTGATGCCCACATAAATCCTGCCCAGGAGAAAGAAAGAAATCATTAAAATCAATTTACATCCAGAAGGAGCCACCTTGTAGAGCCACTTGCTCACTCCAAATGTCAACACTGGGATATGTTTATGGTATCACCTGCTCAGCTCTGGAAACCTTCCAAAGACAAACTAATAGCATTGACGCTTCTAAGCTTCTCTGGGTCCCAGAAGCACAGAAGGGACTCAATTACATTTTAAAAGATGTCATAAGATTGTGGCTTGTCCATTACAATAGCAGTCGCAGCCTTAACAAAGCTGTACTGTGTATAGGCAGGCACATATGCCATGGATCACTTTCACATACAGTCACGCTTAGGAAAGCCTTAATATTCTGACCTCAATTCCAGCTAAATTTATCAGAAGCCAAGCCTAATAATTTGTTTTCCATCACAGGGGCAAATTGCAATCACCTATTTATGGCAGAATATAAATTTCCCAGTAATTTGGGTAAGAAACTAAATTTTAATCTATAAGGGTAATTCCTCAAAAGATCATCTCTTAATTGCCAAATTGAGTTGTAATTTCATAGGTTGTGTCTTCAGAAATGTATACACTCTTTTCCACAGTG